GATTATATAAGTGACAATTTTATATTGAAATTCCAAATATTTTCATCTGTTGTAAAATATTAATCTGCAGCTAGCCAGGTGTGGATCAAGTCAAAATACATAATTCTGCTTAAAATAGTTTGCATTTGTAAAATGTACTTTTTTTGCTTAATAGAAAGAGAACCTCTGTTGTATGTTTATCAGAATTATAGAATAGATACTTTATTTCCCCATATATGGTTGATGTTTATTTTTATTTCAATTACTCATAAAAAGCAATATCCCATCTATGTGCATGTCACTTCACAACATGCGAGTCATCCTGGATTCTTCACTATCTCTCAAACCCCTATGTCCAAGTTGTTGCCAAGACCTCTCATTTTAACCTTCACAACATCTTTCCAATATGCTCCCTTCTTTCCTCTGACACTACTTCCACCCTGGTGCAGGCCCTGCCTGCCCCATATTTCTCCTCAATCCCATTCATCCTCCATTTAGTCACTAAAATGATTTTCCTAAAGCTTGAGTCTGATCACGTCACCCTCCTACTCAATAAGCTCCAGTGGCTCCCTGTTGCCTGCAGGGTCAACTGCAGCATGGTTTGTTTGGCATTCAAAGCCCTTCATAACCTAGCGCCCTCCTCCCATTCCAAACTTCTTACACCTTACTCTTCTGTTCCCCAAGAATCTCATCCAGTGATGCTGGCCTTCTCGCTGTTTCACAAACAAGACTCTGCATTTCCCGGTTCTGGGCATTCCCTTTGACTGTCCCTCATGCCTGAAGTGCTCTCCCTTCTCCACTTAGATTCCTGCCCTTCTTGGCTTCTTTTAAGTCTGAACTAAAATTCCTCATTCTACAGGAAGCCTTCCCCAACCCCTCTTAATTTCAGGAGTTTCCTTTTTAAAAAATTATTTCCTGTTTTTCCTGTATAGAGCTTCTTTGCATATATTTGTTTGTTTGTTGTCTCCTCCATTAGATTGTAAGCTTCTTGAGGTTAAGGACTGTCTTTTGCCCTTTTTTTGTATCCCCAGCGCTTAGCACAGTGTCTGGTGCATAGTAGACATTTAATAAATGTTTGTTAATTGATTGATATTCCATAATAAATTACATGTTTTGAAGAGAAAGTATTCAGTTCTTTTTCTTCTGTACTTTGTATTTCAAAGGCATGAATAATATAATAATAGAAAGTAGCTATGGACATAATTTCACCTAGAAAATAGTGTTCCCTCATTTCTTCATTCCTCTAGCTCCTTTCTTGTCATTTCTGGAGTTACGGGTCAGGCTGCTGGACATAAAGAGTAACTGTGTGTCTGTCTTCTTGTCTCCAGGGGAAATTTGAGTCATCTGAATGGCCCCAGGACCTGAACAAGCCTATTAGGCTCTTACTGAGGACCTCACCTATCCACAATCTGTTTGTCTTACTAAGCAGTATTTGCCGTTTTCACTCAGAACCTCTGGAAGGGTATCTCCTATCCACCCCTTTCCTTTTTTCTTAGCTAAGTAGGTAGTAATTTGTGATATTTGTTGTCACTTTGTAGATTGTTTGACTATGCAAAGTCCTAGGTAGAGTTGTTACGAGGAGTAAATGAGATAATGTATATAAATCTAATTCCAGCATCATTTATTAAAACTATATACTTACTCTTATTTATGACCATCAACAAAAAAAAAATGAGCATATGCTGCGTGGGTATTTTCTTTATATGTTCACTGATGTTTCATAGCTAATTCCTGATGCTAATCGTTCTTTCTGCGCTTGTGAACAAGCTTTTAAGAAGTAAAACATCTCAATGACTGTAGTGGGTTTCTCAAATGTTGTTAGAAAAGTGTTAATTTGATCTTCTGAGGTGATCAGCAAAGCATAAAACTATACAGCACAGTCTTTGACTCCAATTCTAACGTAGATCATATGTATTTTGACATTTATAAGGAAAGGTCAGGATCACCAGATCCATTTGGTATAGAAGGAACTGGCAAATGTGATTGCAGCTGATATACTGTCAGTGATTTTTGAAAGATCATGGAATACTGCAAGACTGGAAAAAGGGAAATCTTTACCCTGTTTTCAAGTAAGAGAAGAGAGTGGAATCTGCAAACTATAAGACAGTGTGCTTGATTTTGATTCCTAACAATTTATTAAAAGATATGATCAAAAGGATAGTTTGTGAGCAACTAGAAAAGGAAGCTGTGATCAAGTCAGCAATGCTTTATTAAGAACAATTTTCACCCAAGTAAAAGTTTCATTTCCTTTTTTTGGACAGGATTACTAGGTTGACGTATCAGGAGAATATTGTAACTTTAGTTTGTTTACCTAACTTTTAGTGATACCTTGGAAGAAGTCTTTTGTGTCTTTTTTGTCAGCTCTGTGGAGTAATATGGATCATAGGATCACAGAATATTTATTCTGACGTGTGATTTTTGTATAGAGATAGGAAAATGGGTGGACCATCATGGACCCATTTTTATGTCTCTTGTGACATAGAGGTGGTGTTGGCCTTGGATTCTTGATGACCATCTCGACCATTCTTGGGTGCCCTGGCATGCCCCAGAAAAGGAATACCACCCCCAGAAGAGCCTGGCATCAGGGGTTGGGAACCTGTGGCCTTGAGGCCACATGTGGCCCTCCAGGTCCCCAAGTATGGCCCTTTGACTGAGTCCAAACTTCACAGAACATATTGGAGAGGTTCATCACCAGGTTGGCTATCAGGAGATGAATTTCTTTAGTAGCAGCAACTCATGAGAAGTTTCTCTTTATTCATAAAGGAGAGCCCACACATAGTAAAATCACAGGACCTTGAAAAGAAAAGGGGAAGTTGGCATAAAAATTTGAAATCAGAAAATCTTTCTCTTTTATTTGATTTTTTTATCAATGTTCTTCATCTGTTTCTTTGATAAATTCTTCCCCAGGGATGTTAATTATTAATCTTTTTAAAGGATTTAATAAATCATTAAATGCATGTATAATATCTCGATTCTTCATCAAGTTCTAATTTGTTATCTGAATTCTCTTTATGTTTTTATAAGGCTTGAAAGGCCCTGATTGGATATCTCAAGATCTTTGTGCCAAAATTAAAAAAAAATGAGCAAATTTCTAAACATTAGAATGGAACTTGTTCTATTCTGTCTTATCTTTTATGAATAATTGAGGCAACAACATTTCTTTTTGAGTCGGGGTTGCATGGTGAATTCCTCACCATCTTGATGATCATGAGAGGCATGCAGTGTAAAGGAACTCCAGAGGAGTTTGACTTTACCAGCAGTTCTGTATATGGGCCATGACAGAAGGTTGAACTACTTTTCCTCATTGGAACTAATCATATACTCTAGAGATGGAAGGGCCTTAGATGTCATCCAGTTTATCACCCTTATATTATAAATGAGGAAACAAACATGAAGGAGGTGACTTTCCTGAGGTCTTAGAGGTAGTAGTTACCTATTTGATTTTAAGCTAGGCCCTCTGACTTCAAATGGAGTTTTCATTTGTTTATTAGTATTTAGTCTTTTTTGTGGGCTTTCTCGGTTGCATTTGTTATGCTAGAGGAGGCAGTGAATTTTAGTTTCTTATCTCACTAAAATTATATGTGTAGTCTTTGGAGAAAAATTAAACCGCTAGCTCTTAAGTGATTTCCATACAAAATTAATGCTTGCCTTGACTTCTGCCAAAAGCTGAGATGCTTTTAGGCAATAGATGCCGCCAGAAGTTTTTTGAATTTTTTTCTGGAGAGAACTCAAAACTTTAGGACAGAAAACATTTGTGCTTGGGGCAGTGCAATGATTCCACCTGTGTCTTGTTCTTGTCTTTTCCATGTTTTCATTTTGTGGCCAGAAAGGCCTGGGCAGATCATACTTCTATTTTTAAATCTTTGTTTATGAACGTTTTAATTTTATAAGACCAGATTTCATTCCAGCTTTCAAAATATGTGCTCTTCAACATAAAATGTTTTGACAGACACCTAATGGCCTCACACTTTACCATCCGTTTTTTGGGCACCAATTCAGGGATTCAGAGCAGTAAAATCACACTGCAATTAGTCACTAGCAAACTCTATTTTGCTTGCAAGACTAGCAGTTCACCCTTCCGACCTCAGTTTTGATAATCTGTCCACTTATACCAGTGACATAGATGTGTTGTAGATATTCTGAGGTTCTTAAATGTTAGTTTTGGTGTTTTAGTTCTTTTAGCTTCTCAGGAAGCCAAACAGTAATACTTATGAGGGGCCTCTCAACTGAAGACTTCAAAGAAAGCACCTCATGAATGTTATTGGCCCAGTTTATAGACAAGACTGGTGTAGGTAGCTAGGTGGCACAGTGGGTAGAGCACTGGGCCTGGAGTCAGGAAGACCTGACTTCAGATCTGTCCTTAAACACTTGCTAATGTGACCTGGGCAAATCACTTGACTTCTGTTTGCCCCTTGACTCTTAAAAATATGTGGATCATAATAGCACCTACCTTCCAGGGTTGTTGTAAGGGTAAAAGTAGATAGTAAATTTAAAGAGTTTCATGAACATTAAAGTGCTATATAAATGCAAACTGCTGTTATTATTAATATTATTCCTGTCATTATCCTCATCATCCTCATCCTCTTCTATATGGCCATACTAGGAAGGAATAAATCAGTACAGACCTACTTCAGGTGTTGTTGTCTTTTTGCATGTAAAACCTTTCATGGAGCTAATAGACAAGAGATAAAAGGCAGGCAAATAAGATTAGAAATCCATCTTTTGTCCATCAGAAAGGCAATGAACTGAATGTTCAGTTAAATAAACTATAAAACACCTTGGAAATACATTAGAGTTGTAGTCAATCTTAAACTGTTTGTCAGTGGACTGAGAACAGCATAATGATATTCACACAGTCTTACTTTGTAAACAAAGTCACTCCTCTCCACCTTTGCACGTTTAATTTTGGTTTTTAAATAAAATGTCAATTTACTCTTTAAAAGTTTTCTGAGTAGTGTATGTGAACTTCTTTTTCTGTGCTTAATTCTTTTGCAAATGAAACGTTCTGTCTCCATTTTCAGGACTGTGCGAACCTGGGATGTGGACAATGATAAGAAGCACAAGAGTGTGTTTAAACCAAGAACAGTTCAGGGAAAAAAAGTCATTCCAACCACTTGTACGTACAGTAGAGATGGGAAGCTCATTGCAGCTGGCTGTCAGGATGGAAGCATCCAAATCTGGGACAGAAATATGAGTGTAAGTAAGGACATTTAAATCTCCTTTTTTTTTTTTTTTAAAGATCACAACTTTAATAAGACAAACACAATATTAAATGTTATGAAGATGAATTTCCTGAGTTTAGTTTAAATTAAAACCTCTGTTAACTTGATCAAACATTGGACCTTTCACAGTAAACAGCATTTTGACAAACTTACCAACCACCATTTATAAACAATAAAGTATTTTAACAGATTTAGAAAAGCACTTTGAAGTTCTTGGTTTCAATTAGATTTTGAAAGACAGAAATATGACAAATTTTATGGCATGACTTAACAGAGCATTAAAAAGTATACTTAAAAATTTTCCTGTTTTCATTGATGGAATACCCAAAATTATTTAAGAGTTATATTTTCCCATTCTTATTTTTATAATTATATGAATAATCTTGGCCTACATTGCCACAGTACCGTGGACTTTTAAGAGACAGTACTAGAAGTGATTGAAAGTAAGCCATCATCCAAAGAGGATTGAGAGCTGCAAATCCCACGTTGGGAAGTAGCACATGACCATGTAGAGAGGGAGATTATTTAGATGCTTTGGTGGTTTGGGGACAGTCCTTACACTTGTGTGTAGTCAATGGAACTTCTTTCAACCCTAGGGTGACGAATTAAGCTCTGTGTTCTATCCCTGCTTTGCTGGATGTGGCATAGTCTGGAGACTGATCCTTATAGTACTGAGGCCCGAAGAGGAAGGGAGAGAATTTGAACTGTGGAAACTGAGCAGGCCATGTGGGGATAGGGTTAGAAGTAAAATGGAGTGCAGACTTAGGAATGATGTGGGATGGGTATGTGTGGGGCTGGGTAGGAGAAGTGAGATACAATGAGAGAAGACACCAGGAGATGGGAGTTAGGATTTAGGGGTATCACAGAGGATGAGGGAAGTTGGAGGAGAGCTAGATTAGAAGATGGGCATGAAGGGTAGGATTGTATGTTGTCGTATTCATTTTTATTCAAGGCTACTGTAAAGATGAAGTATATCACAGCAAGTGAGAGACAAGAAAATGAAAAATATTTGCAACTGATTAATTTCTTTGTTAAAGTGCAGCAAAGAAAATGTTCATTCTTTGGAAAAAATCAGTACAGCTGACATGCAGCATTTCAGAGGCTATTACTTAAATGTAAAACTCTGAAAGCTGAAAACTTTATCCAGTGCCCAAGTTTTTGTCTTATTTTCAATACCAGATCAAATTTATTAAGCTCTAAAATGCCAGATCAAATTTATTAAGCCATAAAGAATAGAGCTGCCCTTTTAGACCAAGACATATGTGATTCTAATAGTACCAGCATACATTAAAATAGCATTTTATGGTTACAAAGCAGTTTTGTATTCGTTATCTCATTGTATTCTCACAGCCACACTGTGGTGTATTATTGTCTCCGTTTTGAAGATGAGAAATAAGACTCAGAAAAGTTAAAGAATTTTCCTCAAGTCACACAGCTTGTTATTGTTCAAGCCAGGATTCATACTCCTATCTTCTTCCATTGCTTGTCTGATAATACCTGCTGCCTCTCTGCATTTTACCTGTAAATCGTTACTTCATAGCTACAGACATTTATTAAAAGACTTTTGCATCATTTCCATAGATATTAACCAAAGGACAACATTCACATGTGTATAGTTTGAGAACTGCTGATATTTCATTTTCATCTTTCTGGCCACATATACATGTAAGCTACAGTCACTGTTCATAGCATCATCTAGAAAAAAGACATTTTATGTAAGTTCACTCATGTAAAGGACAAGGACCATGCCTTGTCCTTTCCCTCTTAATTTGTTTATCGTTCACGTGGACTAACAATGGGCTGTTGCAGAAAAGTGGATTATAATCTTCTTTCGAACTAGGCACTCAAAATGATTTTTTTGATGGAATCTTAGATATCATTCATTAAAATGAGACGCTGCCAAGGGCAGCTGGGTGGCACAGTGGATAGAGCACCGGCCCTGGAGTCAGGAGGACCTGAGTTCAAGTGTGGCCTCAGATACTTGACACTTAGTTGCTGTGTGACTCTGGGCAAGTCACTCAACCCCAAATGCCTTGCAAAAAAACTGCAAAAAAAAAAAGAAAAATGAAATGCTACCCATAGTAAAATATGATGATTTAAACGTACTGTCTATATTGGCATTCAGCTAAAAGTGATTTTAAATTTTGTTCACCAAACTTTAATTAAAAAACTATGGATCTCTTCAGCTACCAATGCCTTCTGCTTATTACCTTATATTTAATATGTATATTCCTTTATGAATACATGCACCCTATCTCGAAGCAGGTGGACTAAGCGACATTAGAAGATTCGTTTTCATTTCATCATGTTATAAAACTTGTCATGGTAGGGTAATTAATTGCATGTGATTAATTATTTCTATATGACTATATAGAAAAAGTCAAATAGTAAAAATACTTTGCAAAAATCTCTGTCTACAGTGATGGCAGTGCTTTCATTCTGGTATGTTCATAATGTATAGATGAATAACTTAATTTTATGTGATCTATCATGGACTAATAAGCCTATCATGGGAATTGTGGATGACACCAACAGTATGAGGTACTGTGGACATATTTTAAGATAATTATTAATCATCTCTATGTATTTTTATAAACACCTGTTGCTATGCTGATCAAGTGCATTTTCAGGTTCAAAGGGAAAGGCAGATGTGTATGTCAAATACCAAATGTATTAAATACTCTTAAAGTTGCAAAAGAAGCTTAATATTTTAGTACTATGTTTAAATGAACAGCACATACAAGCGATGAAAGCCAGTCACTGAAAAATTTATTGTTCTGTTAAAACGAAGTTTACACTTTGTAGGGGTTCTCAAATCTCTGTGCTGTTAAAAAGTTTTATGGAGTTTATAGTAGAGATAAAAACAGAAATAAAAATAGCTGACAAACAGAAAATAACAAAAGTATTTTGGACATGGTCATTGTGGGTCTCCCCCCGCCCCCCGCCTTGCTGTTCCTTACCCTAAGAAAACGGACTTTGTCTAATCTTCCTGAAGAGTTCCTAGGTCACTTATTTTATTTTTCAACTTAAAACTTTGATGAAGTTCAAAATCTTTCTATTAAACATTTTTATTAAACAAAGCTATTCTATTATAAATGGGCTAAGCTGTAGCTTTCATGTTGGGATGTATTTACAATTTTTGCATTAGTTCTCAGAAACCCTGTGCCTCTTATTACACATCCTCTTTCATATGCTCGTGGCTTCACAAATTTAGGGCTAGAAGGGACCTTAGAGTTTATCTCATCTAACCTTCTCATTTTGCAGATGAGGAAGGAAATTCAGGCCCAAAACAGTTTTTAAATGTCTGCCAAGGTCACATAGGCAGTAAATGGCAAACCAGGAGAATAGCCGCCAATTTCAGCTTGAGTGTTCTTTTGGGAGTATCACACTGCCCCAGTGCTCTTCCATCTTCTCCACCATGTGGCTGCATGTGTAGATTTAGCCATAGAAGTCTAGAGCAGGACTTCTTAAACTTTTTCTTCTTGCGACCCCTTTTTGCATTTCAGCAGTGTTTGTTGGTGTTGTTTGGTGTGACAGCATGTGTAGTGCAAAGTTCACATGCTTTGTGTTCAGAACCGAGGCTGCAGTGAAGTCACACCATGCAGCATAGGTGAGCGCAGCCAGAAACACCTCAGCTTCATTATGCATTTGTATTTTGAAATTAAATTAATTAAAATTTAAAAATTAAATTAATTTTTGGTTGTTGCATGTTCAGAAACCTTTTACTGTTGCCAAATTTTTCATGACCCCATTAAGAAGCATTGGCATAGAGAGTCATATTACTATGATCTAAGGTACCTTCCAGCTATAAAATCCTATGATTCTAATACTGTATAATCAGGAGGAATTTTCACGCCTGTCATTTAAGTTTTGTTTCTTTCAGTGTCGCATATTTAAATAAAACACATATTCCATACATTATATTAATTTTCTTTTTTCATTGACATGCATATATGCATGCATGAAGAAGAAAAGTAAAACTTGGAGCAGAAATTTCTAAGAAGAAATACAATTTGATTTGAAAATAGATTCCTGAAAAAAAAAAACCAAAGTCACTACTAGCTCAGTACTCTGACAATAATAAATCTTCAGGGAAACACTGACTAAAAATGAAACGTAAAAGACTTAGAAGAATTAACATGGCAGTTTTTTTCCCATGCGTCAGCCAAGAAAACAAATTATGTTAGTGGATAATTTATTTTTGTGTTATTTAGGTATAAGTTTTTAAAACCAGTGTGTATCTGTAGTATTCATGTTGGATCTAGTCCTACAGTATAGTCAGTTGAATAGAGTAGAATTTCTCTAAGAAACAGAGCTTTGCCCACAGATGATAAATTCTCTAAAAGAACTCTAAAAGGACCACTCCTTCTTAAAAGAGGTGGTTTGCTTGAGTTTATTTCTTGTGTTTTGATAGCAAAAGTCCATCATTTAGACATACTCATTTTTTGTAAAAACTCAGATAACGTGTTCAGCAAGGCTATGTCAGAGCGCATTTTATTTTTGAGGTGAAGTGCTTTAAAAGACAAGCAAATGTTATGCTATTAGCATTTTTAACAATTGGGGAGTGGCTGAACTATTAATAATCTATCAACTAACATTTATTAAGTGTCTACTATGTGCTACTTACTAGGTATACAAATACAAAAGTGACACATTTTTTGCCTTCAAGGAGCATATATACAAGGAGCATACTATAGTGCAGTATTATCCAACTAAATAGAAACATTTCTTGTGTTCTTGATAATATGGTGAAGAGTGAGTCAGTTACTAAAGTGTATAGTCATATTTTTCAAAATAACTTATTAGTATATAAGAAGCAGTAATAGATGTTCAGAAATAGTCATGTGTTATATAATATTGCATACATTTTACCAAGTTAACATTTATTAAACAAGGCTCTTTGCTAGGGATACAAAGATAAAACTACTACAAATAGATGCTAACTACATATTGTGCAAAATACTACCCTGGACA